TCCTTTAAATGATCTTGTAATGGTCTGACGAGTTTAGCGCTAGTGTAAATCTAAAAATCAACAGAATTTGTTAACGTGTATTTACAAATATTTTGGCGATGAATTATTTCATTAAAATCAGATAGGAAACTTAAGGGCACCCTTCAGTACAGAAACTTTCCTCTACAGTTGTTCTTTAAGTTTTCCGGCCAAACTATGCATTCTGAAACAACTTACTTTTCAATGAGATATGAACCAAAGAACTGTGGCATGGCTATTTACTATATGTACCACTACTCCCTCGCCCACCCCACTACACCCCGGTCCACTCTCCTACACCCCGGTCCACTCCCCTACACCCCGGTCCACTCCACTACACCCCGGTCCACTCCGCTACACCCCGGTCCTCCACTTCCACCCAGCCCTCCCTTTCACCCAGTCCCTCCGCTACACCCCAGTCCTCCACTTCACCCCGGTCCACTCCACTACCCCAGTCCACTCCACTACACCCCGGTCCCTCCTTTACACCCCGGTCCACTTCGCTACACCCCGGTCCACTCTCCTACACCCCGGTCCTCTCACCACCCCGGTCCCTCCGCTACTACACCCCGGTCCACTCCACTACACCCCGGTCCACTCCGCTACACCCCGGTCCACTCTCCTACACCCCGGTCCACTCCGCTACACCCCGGTCCACTCTCCTACACCCCGGTCCACTTCGCTACACTCCGTTACATATAACTACAATTTAACCCAACCAGCTACACATCCGAGGTTAATTTGGACTACTATACAACAGTAGTGTATTGTGTGGGAGGGATGCAATTGCCCGTAGCAGTACACCAATACCAGGGGAAATTTGTTACAGTAAGGGCAGTAGGTGAACACTTAGGGCAGTAAGTGAACATTTAGGGCAGTAGGTGAACATTCAGGGCAGTAGGTGAACATTAAGGGCAGTAGGTGAACATTAAGGGCAGTAGGTGAACATTAAGGGCAGTAGGTGAACATTTAGTGCAGTAGGTTAACATTAAGACAGTAGGTGAACATTAAGGGCAGTGGGTGAACATTTAGGGCAAGTAGGTGAACATTAAGGGCAATGGTGAACATTAAGGGCTGATGGAGTGAATATTAAGGGCAGTAGGTGAACATTTAGGGCTGATGGGTTAACATTTAGGGCAGTAGGTGAACACTTGGGGCAGTAGGTGAACATTTAGGGCAGTAGGTGAACGTGGGGCAGTAGATTGTTGACATTCAGGAAATGGGTGAACATTAAGGGCAGTAGGTCAGCATTAAGGGCAGTGGTCAGCATTAAGGGTACTGGAGGTGAACATTAAGAATGATGGTGAACATTCAGAGACGTGGGTGAACGTGGGCATTAGAGTGAACATTAATAGCGTAGGTGAATATTAAGGGCAATGAAACGATATTTAAGGGCGGTAGGTGAGCATTAGGGCAGTAGGTGGTGATGGGGTGCTAGGTGAGCGTGGGAGTGGGTGAGCATTAAGGGCAGTAGGTGAACATTAAGGGCAGTAGGTGAACATTTAGGGCAGTAGGTGAACATTAAGGGCAGTAGGTGAACATTTAGGGCGGTAGGTGAACATTAAGGGCAGTAGGTGAGCATTAAGGGCAGTAGGTGAGTATTAAGGGTACTAGGTGAGCATTAAGGGCAGTAGGTGAACATTCAGGGCAGTAGGTGAACATTAAGGGCAGTAGGTGAACATTAAGGGCAGTAGGTGAACATTCAGGGCAGAGGGGGAACATTAAGGGCAGTAGGTCAGCATTAAGGGTAGTATACTAACATCATGGCTAGTATACCATCATCAAGGGTAGTATATTAACATCAGGAGTAGTCTCAGTTGTATTAATATTAGAACACATAAGAGATCTGGAACACTGTGTTCACGTTATGCGTCAGTGCACCTGCAGGGCCCAAACCTTCCCCTTTCCTGTTGCCAAAAACCCAAGAAACACGCACGTATTTTCTCTTTAAGTTAATGATTTTCCTTACTTACTTTTCGAAATCTGCTGCTTGTTGATGAACAGTATGAAATGCTTTGGCAAATATGAGATGGGTATTTTTTTTTAATATGGGGAATTTAGACGGACAGTGACGCTCTCTTTGACATGTTGGGTTGAGAGGTATTGTGTTACGGGGTCCTGGGACTTCCTGGTCGTGGATCTCTGACAAATGTATTCGTTTATCATAAACACTTGATGGTGGTGATTCTTCACAAGTCTCAAGTAGTAGCAGAGTATCACTTAAGCTTGACCGCTATCATTCACCTTCAATCATCACTTGTATTTAAAAGTTATCGCTTTTTGAGGCACATGACATTTGGTCGCTAGTCGGCCTTCCATAATATTCACACGTTCAGAGGACCATCACATATGATCGGTAGAGTCTCCATGAGGCCAACTTTATGTGCTCATGATATCACAACTCAGAATTTCATGCTTGGCGTCTTGTGCAGTGTATGGGGCCTCTTGTCACAGGTGCATAATAATGGTCGCCTGTCAGATTCATGATCGTGACCGCTTGTCGAAGTTTCATGACACTGAAAGCCTCTCGGTGTCAGTACTGCTTATGTGTGAGGGGTCATGACACTGCGTTCGGGGGTTCATAGAGAGTGATATCATGTCATGTTTCTGTCAGTGATTAGGTGTCAGAGGTTCATAATAATGACCACACATGAGTGGTTCACGACAGTGGTCTCTTGACAGAGTATCACGCCAGCGGTCTCCTGAAGAAGGTTAGAATTCCATGACAATGGCTGGGTGTTGGATTTGGATGACACTTCAACCAGATGCAATGAGACTCTAGGAATGTGAGCTCTCAAGTCTGTGTAACCATCGTCAGGTTATGAAATTTAGAGATTGATGAAGACAATATTCAACTTCTTTGCCTTTTGGTTACAATGGAACTCTCATTGTTTTTAAGCATCAGTGCATAGCCTTATAAACGAGATAGGTCATTGTAGAAATGTGTAGCTTTCTAATCGAGAAATCAGGGCGTGAGATGAGAGTACTTTTTATCAGCTAAGACGAGAGTGGGCGAAACTGTTTATTTTTAAAGAGGGAAGAAAAGTATATTTTGGAAGAATTAAGTTATTCGTGAGAGGAAATATAATAAGAACAATAACGTGTTGTGTAGGTAAGTATCTTACTTTAGAGTTGCGTAGGGAGGGAGGGAGGGAGGGAGGGAGGGGTATACCTAAGTGCATGTCGCATACCCTCCTTCAGGTTAACATGTCTCTCGTCCCTCAAGTCCCTTTCTTTACTGCAACTCAATACACTTTGTTTTTATTGAATGTTACATTGTCATGTCCTTTCAACAATGTCCTCAAGTAGTTTTGTAATGATGTTTTAGTGAATGTTGTACGGTGATGTAACCCTGATGTATTGTAGGCCTGTGTGTATTGTACTGTTTATTATGTTCGTGGTTGTCACTTGGTGTCGCTCCTCACCAATGCTTTATAATGATGAATTTTTAGTTTACTTCATCGTGAATGTTTCAAGGTGTGCTTACGCCGACAGCAGTAAATAGTTTAAGTTTATTTTCTGTTTTGTTAATGCTGCATCGGAGTCTTCTTTTTCCTGTATATTTTTGTTTAAGAAAAGGTTTAGTGATGACTTGTGTGTTTCAAGGTAATTAGAAGACTCCAGGATAGAAAGTAAACATTGGCTGATATGTTTGATGTTAACAGCATGTCAATAACTGTTGCAGAATACCAACTCTGTACACTTGTTCCTTCTGTAGGTGGAACATATCATTATCATAGACAGTTTTACTGACACAGTCACCGCTTATTCTCCTAATGATACTGGTGATGACTGACACTCCAGATGCTAAGTAATCGTTGTTTTGGTGATCTAAAAGGTGACCCAAAGTGACGATTTATAGTTTGGTTATCCAGGTGGTGACTGTCAGGCAGTTAGTGTTTCAAAGTGAATGTCTACCAGCTTAATTATGTCCACTGAGTTCTTTATTAGTATGTTGGTGGGGCCAAAACGTAGTGAATATATGGTTATTGATAAGAAAATTGGCCGGGTGTTGCCCTATTGGGTGGAGCATAATGGTGTAGGAATGGCCGCAAGTGGTCCTTTAGAGTGTAGAATCAACTATACAGTGTGGTGAATTAGCATCAGACTGTAGTTATAGTGTATATATATGGACTCACTAGAACAAAACTAAATAGGAATGATGAGACAGTAATACGTAGCTTATAGGCAGAGTAGCTGTAGAGGATGTTGTACAAGGAGATGTTTAGATGTAGACATTAAGATGTTGTATAAAATTATGTTTAGGTGTATAGTGTAGCTCACTGTATGGTCCATTAGTGGCGCGGTGTGTCTCCACAGGGGGTCGCTTGCTCCATCACTCCTGGTAGCCACAAATAATATAATTACTCTTTGTTGATCCATATTGGATGTAGACAATTTCTATGTTTGTTTGTCCTTTGTGATGTGCTGAACATAACTAATTTCTCCTTCTACATATCTATGTGGATGCGTCTTCAACATGCTTCTCTCTGGTCACTACTCTCTTGTTGTGCCTGTGGTGGTGTCTCCGCTTGTGTGTGGCTGGGCGGGTCTGGGTGGGACTTGGGACTAACCCTCCCTCTCACCACACCCACACTTTAGATGTACCGCACCAGCCTACGCTCCCGCACCAGCTTGTGTCACTGCTTTTTTCTTTTTTCTTTTTTTTACACGGCTGTAGATAATTTAAGATGCTGAAGTCGCCTGATGAACAGGGGTCTCTCCTTTTATTCCCTTATGTATAGAAAAGTACAGCCTTCCACTCGTACGGATATTTCAGCAACTGCCCACGAATATTATTCTCCCGATGAGTAGGACAGTTGGCCAGTGTGGCAGGTACACAGGTGCTGGCGTAGGCGCGGTAGATCAGTGTTGTGGGCCACAGGTTGTCATGTCCCCAGCAGCAGTAGGTGTTATGGGGTCGGCGGGGTCCACTCCTCGCCTCCGCCGGCCTCACAGCGCTGCCGTGTTCTTCCTTGCAGCCAAGCATTAGTCTGCCAGGCTCCCCGTTTAACATACGGAGAGGGTCCCGGGGTAGCCATCAATTCACCTGGCGGACCACAAATGGCCGGCGCTTTGGTGACAAGAAGCCGCTGGTGCTGTCCACCTACCTGGACGCTCAAGAGCATCTACCCTACGCCGACGACTCCGCCGCGGTCACGCCCATGAGCGAGGAGAATGGCGCCATCATCGTGCCCGTGTACACAAACCTGGGCTCCCGACACAACTCCTACACCTCTCACACCTCCCGCATATCCTACACCTCTCACGGCGACCTGCTCAACGGCAAGCCGCTCACCACCAAAGAGTCGCAGCTGCGATCCAGATCCCGGAACATGGCCGCCTCCCAGGTCCCAGAGGTCATTATTAATACTTTTAGTGGCGAGTGTGTGAGTAGTAGACCCCCAACTGCTGGCCTTCCCCTCCCCCTTCTCTGCCTCCTCCCTCTACCCCGTTCGCTTGGTGTGGCAGAGTTGTTGGTGTTATTAGCCGTGTATCCCCTTTCCAAGTTTAGGTTAGAACGTCCTACACCCTCAGTAGCTCCCTCATCACTAGGTGGGTTCTCATATCCGCACTTCCGCTCGACATCATCATTTACAACACTCCCTTCAGCACGCTTTATTCTCTCTCACCTTCTCTCTCTCACGTTTGCACCAAGATTATTGTACTGTTTTCTGCCTCGCAGCTTTTTTTCACCCTTCGTCTTCCACTGAGCACATGTGACAGTATCCCTCAAAAGTATGGAATGATGAGACAGACTTACGTGTCTCCCTGTGTGAGCCAATGGACCAGACAGCCACTTAATGTCATTCTGTGATGCCAGGAGCAGGCCTAGAACTAGTAATCTTCTCATGCCAGGAGCAGACTTAGTACGGGAACAGACAGTAGAGCAATAACAATGGCCTCCTACCAATACCCATTGTTAAAGTCTGCTTTTGTAACCCTCCCTAGCTGGACAATAAACACATGCTGCAGATGCTTCCGCTCAAACTGGAGGGTGAAGCTCTCACAAAGAAAGAGGACGAGGTCATTGATAACATCATTCGTGAAATATTTGGACCTGATATCAACCTTGAATATATCGACAAAGATGCAGTAAGTAGGCAACTAGACCTATTTTTTCATTATTAGTTATTTCTGTGAGAGGGCAGTCCTGTGTTGTACATATAAAGTTGATACACTCCCAGGATTGTGTAAGACTTAGCCCTTCTTTCTTGTATTCAGGACTCGCTCAGTCATCTCTGCTTCTAATGTTTCTTTCTCTGGACAGATACAGTCTACAATGATATTTGTAAAGATCGTTCACGATACATTCCTATAAAGAGTCCAGTGTTAGCTCAGATGGGTTATGAGTGCTAGACTAAACCGCCTGCTTTCTCTTCCTCCACTAGTCCGTACAAGGCACACCGCTAGCAAGATCCAAAGAAAACGTTGTAGTAAGTCCACTCCTGCGTGCCCGATTGACCGTCTACACTGTTCTCTTTCTGTGGTCCGGCTCAAGACCAAGAGAATGTCCGAGCACCTTCAGATTCCTCTTCACTGCCCCCCCCCCACCTCCCCCCTGGCTCTAACCTCCCTATCACTATATATCCCCCACTCTTTATGTGGACACTAAAGTCAACACGCCCGATGCTCCTCCTTTTTCTCTAGCACGACTGCACCCTACTGTTGAGGACACGAGCTGTCGCACTGATATTAGGAACTAGAGTACTGGTGAAGACGACGGAAGTACTGTATGTTAGGTTGGACACCGACGTCCCAGCGATGCGACGACTCAATAGACTATGTTTATTGTTGTCACGTTTATTTTGACCGAAATTATGTACAACGTAACAATAATGATAAATTTATAATTTAAATTTAAAAAAAATATATATATAAATTCGAAAAGGAGGCAAATTTATCGATTTCTTTTACAAACAGGAAAAAAAATATGAGACTTCAACACCAACCATATTTAAACGAGCACATATAAGAGCATTAATATCAAGGCATTTATATGTGTATGCCATTCTAGTTTTAAGTGTAGAGTTAGCCAGGTGAGTCTCAGGGATAAACTTGTGTCAACGAGCTACTCTACTACGCCCGCTATACTTGTGTCCTGCTAATAACTTCTAAAGATTCACGGCACATGTTATTGTGGCTGTTATCCTGCCCTCGCTGAACGACAGAACGTCACAAACAGATTATTTAGATATATTTATCCAGGAGCGGTAGTGTTTCACTGTCAGGCAGAGGTGGTCTCGTACACTCATCTGCACTCTCTTCATGTCACGGGACCTCAACCAATGTGTGTCACTACCTCATTCGTCTCTGCACTTTCATGAGCACCCAGAACCCTCTTAATATGAGACAGTCAGCAAGGGAAAATAAACCCTCCAAATGTCATGCAGGTTCTGGCAGAGGAATATGTTGCAGGTTCTGATTAGTCGAGGCAATGTTGGACATTTTTTGATTCGTTGGAGGAATTTGCGAAAGTTTTTGTAACTCGTTGATAATATAAAAACAAAGACCAAGAGACATCAGCCTGGGTGTTATTGGCACTGTGTGTATCCTTCCATGCTAGCTGGTGTAACACTGTTAACACTGCAGCAATCTTGTTCATCATCTGATGTAATATTGTCAGCATAGTAGCAGAATTGTGCGTCATGGGGTGTAAGTCAGCTAGCACTGTGACAGTCATGTGTGTCAGTTGTGCAGAACTAACAAAGTGGACCTGTTTGTGGACCTCACAGCACCGTGGCAATCTTGTATTAGCTTGTAGAGAGCTGGTTACATGTTGACAGCCAAGTAGTGTACAACATTTTTATCACTGTGGCAATTTTTGGTGTCAGCTAATTTAGAACTATCACCTCTTTTGTATCGGCTGGCGTAAAACTATCAGTATCCTTACAGTCTTCTATGTCAGCTGGTATAGAAATGTCAGCACTCTTACAGTCTTCTATGTCAGCTGGTATAGAAATGTCAGCACTCTTACAGTCTTCTATGTCAGCTGGTATAGAAATGTCAGCACTCTTACAGTCTTCTGTCAGCTGGTATAGAAATGTCAGCACTCTTACAGTCTTCTATGTCAGCTGGTATAGAAATGTCAGCACTCTTACAGTCTTCTATGTCAGCTGGTATAGAAATGTCAGCACTCTTACAGTCTTCTGTCAGCTGGTATAGAAATGTCAGCACTCTTACAGTCTTCTATGTCAGCTGGTATAGAAATGTCAGCACTCTTACAGTCTTCTATGTCAGCTGGTATAGAAATGTCAGCACTCTTACAGTCTTCTGTCAGCTGGTATAGAAATGTCAGCACTCTTACAGTCTTCTATGTCAGCTGGTATAGAAATGTCAGCACTCTTACAGTCTTCTATGTCAGCTGGTATAGAAATGTCAGCACTCTTACAGTCTTCTGTCAGCTGGTATAGAAATGTCAGCACTCTTACAGTCTTCTATGTCAGCTGGTATAGAAATGTCAGCACTCTTACAGTCTTCTATGTCAGCTGGTATAGAAATGTCAGCACTCTTACAGTCTTCTGTCAGCTGGTATAGAAATGTCAGCACTCTTACAGTCTTCTATGTCAGCTGGTATAGAAATAACACTAATGTACCTTTAAAATTTTGCCTTCCAACTGATGAAGTACTGGCAACACTGAGGCGCTGTACCTCAACTGGTACAATATTGGCAACACTGAGGCGCTGTACCTCAACTGGTACAATACTGGCAACACTGAGGCGCTGTACCTCAACTGGTACAATACTGGCAACACTGAGGCGCTGTACCTCAACTGGTACAATACTGGCAACACTGAGGCGCTGTACCTCAACTGGTACAATATTGGCAACACTGAGGCGCTGTACCTCAACTGGTACAATACTGGCAACACTGAGGCGCTGTACCTCAACTGGTACAATATTGGCAACACTGAGGCGCTGTACCTCAACTGGTACAATACTGGCAACACTGAGGCGCTGTACCTCAACTGGTACAATATTGGCAACACTGAGGCGCTGTACCTCAACTGGTACAATACTGGCAACAATATGAGTTGCTTGTTGTAGATGATACGATAATGGTAACACTACATGACGCTCTGCTTAAAATTATACACTAGTGGCGACCATACTAAGAATTGTACATACCAACTGCTACAGTAGCTGAAGCAATAAAATATAAGTGTGCTTGCATCCAGTATTGTGTCGCAAGCAAGCACGCTATACCCGTTGTTCCGTCCTGACTTGCACCTCTAGCTGTTATAGCCTTGATTAAGTGGTCTATATACCAACTCACTGCTCGGAAATCACAACTCATTGCTCAATAATCATAACTTATTGTTGATCCGTAATCACAACACAATGTTTCATTATTAAATTGTATTGTTCGAAATTCAAAACTTTTCGTTACATAATCACAACATCTTACACATAACTTATGACACAATCATCACAAATGAACTGTAAAACAGTTTATTGATCAGTATTCAGAAGCGACATTTTATTTTTGCATAGTCATAGCTTCCTATAACTGAGACACAAACAATTATAACATTCTTTACTACATAGTCTGGGCTCATAGTTCACGATTATTACTACATAGCCACAACCCATTACTACTTGTTATTAATACATACTGTAGTTATAACTCATCCCTACAATCACAGATTCACATCTTACTATAACTTAATCACAACTTATCACTGCACAGTCACGGCAAATTCCAAGTTAGTCACAACTAATTAATACATGATCATTATATATTGTCTCAACTCATTAATACATGGACAAAATACATTGTCTCAACTCATTAATACATGGGCATAATTCATTGTCTCAACTCATTAATACATGGGCATAATTCATTGTCTCAACTCATTAATACATGGGCATAATTCATTGTCTCAACTCATTAATACATGGGCATTGTTCATTGTCTCAACTCATTAATACATGGGCATAAGTCATTGTCTCAACTCATTAATGCATGGGCATAATTCATTGTCTCAACTCATTAATACATGGCCACTACTCAGCTGTCTGTACAACACCCATTCTTATTTAATCATAGCAAAATTATGTGAGTTAAGTAGTCACATAATCACTCTACACTGTATCATAATCACAATTTTTTTTATCCATTGTCACATTAGAAAGGTTTACCGTCACAAGTTGTTTTTCTCATCATCAAACCTTATTACTTCATAAGCAAGTACAAACTTTCTTGTATCGTAAACACAACTCATGACTTCAATTTACAACGAAATGTTTAGTATTCATAGCCATGGTTTGTAGTCACACATCAGTCTTCAATAATTTCAACTTAGTGTTCCATAACCATGCCTCATAGCTCTTGAATCATTACTCATTCCGTAAATAACTGTTCCATGATCACCAAATGTTCCATAACACACACCCCCCCCCCCCACCACCCAATTAATAACTTTTACAATCATAACTCAGATTCACAACCCATTTCATCTATAATTATAACCCATTTCATCTATAATCGCAACCCATTTCATCTACAATCACAATTCATTTCATCTATAATCACGACCCATTCCCTCTATAATCACAACCCATTTCATTTACAATCACAACCCATTCCCAATGTAATTATAGCTTGTTGCTCAGTAAACACGGCCCAGTTGATCATTTTGTAGTCGCAATTTGGTGTTCTATACTTAATTATTATTCCCTTTTACCTTTCTGTATTTTTCTATCCTTAATTATTGTTTTATATTCAGAACTCAGTGCTTTCGTTGTCTTCCTCATTCATTCATTTGCACAGCCTCATTGTCGCCTCGTTGTCACAACTGTTAAGCTACCGTTTATAATCTGTCGTGTCATTTCTCTTGATCGTAACTCCGTCATCTATGGAGGAAATTAATTACCTCATAATCACAACTCATTGTTCTGAAAATAAAACTTTTCTTTATAATTATGATTCTTTGATATGTATTCACAACTCTTTGTCAAATAATCATTTATATTTGATCAGTAACCACAACTCGATCCGTATTTACAACTTTGATCAGTAACCACTACTCTTTGATGTATATTTACAACTCTTTGATTCGAATTTATAACTCTTTGTGCCGTAATTACTGTTCTTTGTTACGTAATTACAAATATTTGAACCCGTAATTACAACTTATCTCTTTATAACCAATATCCACTGCATAGTTTAATAATATACTAGGGCTCCGTCATCACAAATTGTTACTGGATATTTTTACAGTAACTCGGTACTTGACAATCACATAAAGTATTGAGTAATGACAACTTAGTCATCTTTTAGTGCTGTAAAGTCACATGTCACTGTCGACTTGTCATATATCATTGCTCGTTAGTCACATATATTCAAAGCTTAGGGTAAGGTAGTCACGTATAAGATCACAATAGTCATATATCAGTGCTCGGTAGTTATATATCAGTGCTCGGTAGTTATATATCAGTGCTCGGTAGTTAATCTCAGATAATTACAACCCAGAGTTTGGTTTTTACATGTAAGTCCTCGTTCTCAAAAACCAACTCTCAGAAGTTAATGTTTAGACGGAGTAGTTATGGTGTAGTACCTGCCTATCTTTCCAGGTAACTCACACTACTACTACTACTACTACTACTACCACTACTACCACTACTACCACTTTCCGTCATTGAACGCTAATTATAGAGTATTTGTTTATGGTGTCGAGGGTGGAGGGAGTGTTGTTCAGTATGATGATGGGCAGTACAACGTGTGCTCCTCTGGGCGTGTGTGACTTGAAATCTTGAAGTGTTCTGCACCCCCCCCCCCCCCCCCCCCCCCCTAGTACGTGTAGCATGCATTCCAGCTCCGCCCCTCTCGCACACTGACCTGCCTGCTACTCATAATTCACCCTACACCCAGAGTTTTGTGTCCCCCCTCATGGTCTCCTAACTCAACACTAAACCTTGTCCTTACCTCTGTTATCATTATATTCTGCGACACCTCTTCTGGCACCCGCCACTGTAGTAACGCCACAAGGCAGCTGAGGCTCACAGTAATATTACCATCTGAGAATTTTCTTTCTCTAGTGCCAAAGTGGATCTTAACGACCCGCGTTGTTATCGTCTTTTGACAATCATTAACTTGTTAGCTTCTGGGTGTGCGGGATGAGGCCGAGTAAAATACCTTACCGACAGTTGTACCACAAGATGTGCATTGTGTACACATTCCATAATATATGTTACACTAAATAGGCACAATCGCCGATTAAGCTTTTAAAAGAAACTGACGTGTTTGCCGAATAGGGTTAACCTTTTCTTTGCATTACTACACCTTAACAGAAATTAATTTATCTATGGTGAAACTTCTTTTACTTCAATAAAGACGTCGCTTCTTATCACAATATAGACGAATTATACCTATAGCACATTACGTTACGTTACATTACCTTAGGTACTATTATGATGGTCTACTGTATATATTGCTGATTAGCGATAACATTTATGTATTTCTCATTTTTCGAAACTTGTGACTATATCATGATGAGAAATGACGTCTTAAATGAAACAACAAAATTTACCATAAATGAATTAATTTATAATAAGTTGTCACAATACAAAGAAAAATGTTATCCTTTTTGGCAATAAAAATGCTGTACGTTAGTATGACAGTTTAATGTTAAAAGAGAAACCATATACTTATACTTATGTATACTTATTCTTATGTATGATTTATATCCGTCATAATTTATCAATATGTATGTAATGTCTAGGTTAGTTAAGTTTCGTGTAATGCTGACCTTTAGTTTACTACAGTATGTCAGCAGTGTATACTTGATAAATATATATATATATCAGTGACAACCTGTTAGTGAACATGGCAGTATGAATCTTCTGGTGTTGAAACTGTGACCGATTATTAACGATGTGAGTGACATTACATTACCTTGAGCCTCAGCTTACTGTGTGTCGGATGCCTCGCTTGTGCCACTCCGCCACCTCACCTTACACTCTGATCCCCCCAGTTATCTCGTCCGCACCACCGACCATTTGCTGCACCCACGATGTCTCTTCCTTCCCTTCACTCCCTGAGGCTAGTGCCCCACACCTTACAACTATTCCCGACTGGAGATAATTCGGCTTTACATTAATAAATGAATATAAGAATGTAAGTGTTGGTGTGTGACGCTCCTCGGTGGTGCGGTACGAGGTTATCCATTCAGTCGGGGCGCGCGTCGTCCACCACTGGTGCATGGTTATACTGTGTGGTCAATAATGGGAATGTGTTTTATTTTTCCTTTGACCATGACAGATCCAATAATTGACGCTGCCAGGTAAGTTACCAACTACATCTTCCCGTTTATGTGGTTCGTCCTCCACCTGACCCTTGAATGATAGCTTAGTGCGTGTGAACGAGTTTGACTTTGACGTTCACCCATGTCTGAAAATGCACTTTTCACCTGTGTGATGTCACTGGACCCGTAACTGGGGACTTGATGAATTTTTATGGCAATTTCTTCACTTTTCTGTGTGTGTGTGTGTGACACGCCAACACTTTGTTGTCCACCCTACTGCTCTTACCACGAGACATGTTGCCAGGTATCAGAAAAGAGTAGTACTCAGATGCTAAGAAATAATGAAATAATAACATAGATAGATTTAACTAAATGAAGAATCTCTACATCCAAGCGGAACTCCGCAGTCATCAGGTTCCCAGTTTAGTCTAAGTTCTATTTGAAGAATTTGCCCGTTGTCCATGTAGTAAAGACTGTGATCAACGCATGTATCCAAAATGCCAAGGCAGAAGTCGGCGAAAGTAGGAAAACAATATTTTCCATACAATCAGGATCTAATGTCAGAAAAATGCTTCCCAAATTTGTAGTTATGATATACAGCCAAATTAGTCTTTTCAATATGTTTTCAGCTTTAGATAATCTAATGTTGATATTAGGTCTTCGCCAACACTGCAGGAAGGCATTTGAATGTCGCCTTCTTAAAAAGAAAAATAATAATCTGCACAACCCTAAGATTATCTGAAGGTTTTACCGTAGATCTTAATGTACCTTTCACTGACCAATACCTTTTATTATATATACAGTATATAGCCTTCAGGATATCTATGGGAACGGGATTGGTAAACTGACATGCATATATCCCTGAACAATACTATGTACTGTGCAAGAACTGCCTGAGGAAGATGATCAGCTGTGTGTGTACTCCTATGTGCAGTGCCTCAGAGGAATGCTAGACTGAGCTATCGTATGTTTTGACTCGAGACGTAATCCAGAGGGTACTGAATTAATGTAACTTGGCGTTTCTCTTTTGCTTAGATATAATGCATTCATAAAATTACTATAACTTAAGTAACTTTGCCACACATTAATTTTAGAATTGATTAACCTCAAAGAATTTAAGAACTTCGTAGTTACGGTTTGACTTCACTGACTTGTATGTCAGTAAAATTTGATTAATGAAAATGCTGCATCATGCGCCAATTCAATGGTATGTATCATAAGATTATAAAACCCTGACGAGAGACATCCTAGACTTAAATACCTAATGACCTAATCTGTTGTGGTTGAATTTCTAAGTGGACTGACTCAATGGCCTTACAGGACTCGTCAATGGATCCGGATGAGGTGTTGGCGCTCAAGCACAAGAACCAAGATTCTAACCCCTTCATCGACCCTATCCAGACGCACACCGTCGTTGACATGAGAGGTAAGTGTTCTTCCTGCCTATGGTGATGGTGCTACAGTTAGTGGTGATCATGTTGGTGGTGCTACAGTTAGTGGTGATCATGTTAGTGGTGCTACAGTTAGTGGTGATCATGTTGGTGGTGCTACAGTTAGTGGTGATCATGTTGGTGGTGATATACCAGCTCTTAGTGTTGCAGCTAGTGATATACCAGCTCTTAGTGTTGCAGCTAGTGATATACCAGCTCTTAGTGTTGCAGCTAGTGATATACCAGCTCTTAGTGTTGCAGCTGGTGATATACCAGCTCTTAGTGTTGCAGCTAGCGATATACCAGCTCTTAGTGTTGCAGCTAGTGATATACCAGCTCTTAGTGTTGCAGCTAGTGATATACCAGCTCTTAGTGTTGCAGCTAGTGATATACCAGCTCTTAGTGTTGCAGCTAGTGATATACCAGCTCTTAGTGTTGCAGCTAGCGATATACCAGCTCTTAGTGTTGCAGCTAGTGATATACCAGCTCTTAGTGTTGCAGCTAGTGATATACCAGCTCTTAGTGTTGCAGCTAGTGATATACCTGCCATTGCAACTAGTGATAGCCCTACCACAGAGGATCCAGTTTGTGATACCCATGGTGATATATCTACTGATGATGATAATGATGCTACAGCTAGTAATGCCCATGCTGCTATTTTTCAACTAATACCCCTGCTATTGATGCTGTCACTAGTGCTATCCTTGTTGCTAATGGGACAGTTTTATGATATTCCTGTCATTAGTTTAGCAACTTGTGAAACTCTTGCTTCTAGTAGTGCAACTAGGCATACCTCTGCTACAAGTGTTACAACTAGCTGTTGGTAGTGGTACCCCTCCTGCTGGTGTTGGTGGTAGTGGTACCCCTCCTGCTGGTGTTGGTGGTAGTGGTATTCTTCCTGCTGGTGTTGGTGGCAGTGATGCCCCTCCTGCTTCAGGTGTTGGTGGTAGTGGTATTCTTCTGCTGGTGTTGGTGGTAGTGGTATTCTTTCCTGCTGGTGTTGATTGGTAGTGGTACCCCCTCCTGCTGGTGTTGGTGGTAGTGGTATTCTTCCTGCTGGTGTTGAAATTGGTAGTGGTATTCTTCCTGCTGGTGTTGGTGGTAGTGGTACCCCCCCTGCTGGTGTTGGTGTCGATGGTACCCCTCCTGCTGGTGTTGGTGGTAGTGGTGCCCTCCTGCTGGTGTTGGTGTGTTAGTGGTACCCCTCCTGCTGAGTGTTGTTGGTGGTAGTGGTATTCTTCCTGCTGGTGTTGGTGGTAGTGGTATTCTTCCTGCTGGTGTTGGTGGTAGTGGTATTCTTCCTGCTGGTGTTGGTGGTAGTGGTACCCCTCCTGCTGGTGTTGGTGGTAGTGGTATTCTTCCTGCTGGTGTTGGTGGTAGTGGTACCCCTCCTGCTGGTGTTGGTGGCAGTGGTACTCTTAGCTCTGGAGTTGCTTTCCATAATGCATCTGCTGTAGATGCTGCAGTTGTACTACCCGTGCTACAAGTGCTGCAATAAGGAATATCATTGCTGCATAAAAAGATATCCCTTCTGTTCCTGCTGCAGTTAGTTATATTCCTGCTGGTGTCGCAGCTAGTGATACCACAGTTGCTGGTGTTGTAGCTAGTGAAACTACTGTTGTCGGTGCTGGTGTAGTCATGCCCGTGTTATTGGTGCCCATTCTAGTGGTGCCCCTGTTAGTGGTGCCCTTGTTAGTGGTACCCGTGTTAGTGGTGCCCGTGTTAGTGGTGCCCTTGTTAGTGGTGCCCATTCTAGTGGTGCCCTTGTTAGTGGTGCCCTTGTTAGTGATTGCCCTTGTTAGTGGTGCCCACGTGTTAGTGGTGCCCTTGATAGTGGTGCCCGCATCATTGGTAAATTGCCCTTATTAGTGGTGCCCGTGTTGAGTGGTGCCCTTGTTGAGTGGTGCCCTTGTAGTGGTGCGCGGTAGTGGTGCCCTTGTTGAGTGGGTGCCCTTGTTAGTGGTGCCCTTGTTAGTGGTGCCCTTGTTAGTGGTGCCCTTGTTAGTGGTGCCCGTGTTAGTGGTGCCCTTGTTAGTGGTGCCCTTGTTAGTGGTACTCTTTCTGGTAGTGCCCGTGCTATTAGTGCTAGTGGTGCCCGTGTTAGTGGTTTCCCTGCTAGTGGAGTCCCTGTTATTAGTTCTAGTGGTGGTGTTTTTAGTGGTTCCCTTACTGGAGATACGCTTGCTATTAGTGCTAGTGGTGCCCTTGTTGGTGATCCTCCAGTTAGTGATTAGTGGTGCCCCAAGTAGTGAGGTCCGTGCTAGTGGTTGTTGTAGCTCTTAGCAGTGCCCCTAGTAGTGAGGTCTGTGCTAGTGGTTGTTGTAGCTCTTAGCGGTGCTCCTAGTAGTGAGGTCCGTGCTAGTGGTTGTTGTAGCTCTTAGCGGTGCTCCTAGTAATGAGGTCCGTGCTAGTGGTTGTTGTAGCTCTTAGCGGTGCTCCTAGTAGTGAGGTCTGTGCTAGTGGTTGTTGTAGCTCTTAGCAGTGCTCCTAGTAGTGAGGTCCGTGCTAGTGGGTGCTGTAGCTGTTGTATCCCGACTGACTGTTTTGACTCGTGGGTTTTTCAGCAGAACATTTTCAGTCAGTTTGTTACTTGTTTTGGTTGTTCCGTAGATCTGCTACTTGTTCTGGAGTTATGGAGAACAGGATATAACATTGTGCTGCACGTGTTCCTATATATATAAAAAAAATATGCCATGATAATATGTAAGTGACTTTGTATGGAAGAAACTTTATGTTGAATCTTATTTTTTCTTTGCTCTTTCTCGCCGCCCAAAAGAGTTTTAATTGGCCGTATCCTACAGTGGCAATGATTACCCACATTTTAATATACATACCCTGTGCATATGATTTCTTAGGCAATTTCCTAAAGTGTAATATTGGTACAATTTCTTATAAATGTGCTCCGACAGATGTGATGGTGCTAAATGACATCATCGAGCAAGCAGCAGCACACGCGGGTAGACAGAGCCGAGCCAGTGACCATGGTGGTAAGTACTTCTTCTACTTTCACGTTTGCTCGCTTATATCAGCAAGCTAGCTCGTGTGTAGCTCGTCAGATGTATAATATTTGATTTTCTTGTTCCCAGGCTGTAGCTAGTGCATTGCAGTTCATTTCCAGAGTTATTGTTTAAATTTAACAGTAATCGTTTTATTCAAGTGATGTTAGACGTACAGTAGGCATGTCAAGTGTGGTTCCACTGGGACCTTTCTGAGGAGCATTGCTGGGGGCGTTGTTGCAATATCTTCATCCTCTAGAGTCTGCGTTAAAGTAACAATCAAGAACGTGATGGCTACAGGTTAAGAGAATGTATATAATATGATGGTGATACCTGAGGATGTAGTACTTGAAAGAATGCTTCCCAAACAATAACGCAACCGATCCTGTTACCAGAAAGATTAGACCTGAAGTCACCATATTTCTCTGTATAGAGTAGCATTATCTTGCCCTCAATTGGTGATCTTGCATGGACGTCCTCGTTAACTGAGGTTACTTTATATTCTAATGGTTATAACGGTGGCTTGATTTGATTTAATGTTTTAGCATACTGTATATCTTAAACATTTGTGCTTTATTGATAATTTTTAAGTATGATGTATAATTGTTCTTTTAATGATATGAGAACTGCTGGTAGTATGATGCTCACACACACCCATTTAGTATTGTTAAAAAGTATGGTTTATATGTAAGGTAAAGTAAGAGTAGCGACGGGGTAAGGTTTATACTCCAGCAGTACTCAAATATCTGCATTGTCAAGTAACCCAATGTTATTAACGTCTGGTAACCCAGTTGTTGTTTTTAATTGTGGCCTCATCCTGTCCACCTACACTTCAACATTTGGTAGATGACGAGGGTGCGTACTTCTTCTTTATTATTATTATTTCCGTTATCGTATTACTCTTCACTTTCTACTCTGGCTCACTAGCCTAGCCGCCTCACTCACTTCTCTTGTGTCAGTCGCCTAACATCATAGTCACCTTGTCTTGACAGTCGTACTTTATCTCTTGACTCTATTATATATACCAAACCATGACTTTGTGATAGCTTTTCTGTAACGACGTGTGTGTGTGTGTGTGTGTGTGTGTGTGTGTGTGTGTGTGTTGCATAAATATTTGTGCTAATTGGCAACAACAAACAAGATCTGATAATATCAAATTAAGTCATTTTGACAAAGAAATTTTTTTCTTCTTAAAATGACGTCAGATGAGAGGTTGAATAGGTTACGGTCCCATAGATATTCTAGTTCTCTTAAACCTTTTATTAGAAGCACTAAACATGACTTGAATCACAATTTAAAACTTTGTAAGTGATTTATAGTTTTGTCCAAACTATGGGCTATAAGTACAGGTAGAGAGATTCATTTGAGATAATGAGGGATACTTGCAAAGGTGTATATTTTACGTCAATGTTGATAAGATGCGACTGTTTCTCGCTACTAAAGTCACAACCTTTAAAAAAACACACTCCACTACAACTAATGATAACATTAATACTACTACTACCGCTACTACTACTACTACTACTACTCCTACTACTACTACTACTACTCCTACTACTACTACTACTACTACTACTACTACTGTCACTTTGCTAATTCTATCACTTACAAAAATGCGTATTTCTTCCTCTGATGCCATTACGGCAAATAATGTCACCACGTTTTCTTCGTTTTTTCCTCAAATCTATTACAACATTTCATTTCCAATAACTCTACTACCATGATTTCCAACACCAATACTGCTCTTCCCTGTACTGTACTGTACTGTACTGTACTGTACTGTACTGTACTTTACGTATTCTTGAAACTTCAGCTTCTGCTTCATCCTTCTGTTGTCTATATTGAATGAATTTATAGCTTGTATCTGTTGTAGTTTTGAAATATTTTGCTTGGTATGTGCGTCTTGTAAAATACAGTAGTTGTATCGATAAAACCTGTTGCCTTGTGTCAAACCATAGGCAGTTGGACTGTTTCACTCTATGTGTTTGTTATCATTCCGCCTCCTTGCCAGTAACTTAGATTGTAGTCCAGATAAGCCTGTAGCCTTAATAAGCCTGCAGCCTGGGTGAGCCTGAAATGCACGGATGTGAAATTAGGATGTGTTTGCCAATCGAACCCTTGCAAGACTTTTGGCGCCTCTTGAAGACACTCGACCGGTTCACCTACTGCCTCGCCTCTCCCAACACTCGCTCTCCCACTTCTCATAGTTAAAACATATCTGGTTTTATTTCTATGGCCTCCATTGCTACAAGAAATAATTGCACATATGAATATCATGTTATCACTTCCAACCATTGAAAGAAATTATGGGTATGCTAATTATTGGAAGAGCCCTATTTTTCTTTTATGGCATCGTATGAAGTACAGCTTGAAGTAGTGCGTGAATGAAATAAATTATTTTGGAATTTTCATGATTCATTCAATATCTTTCTTAACAATATACTTCTGTCACTTTGTATTGATTTGTTTATAGCAAAGTGATAACATTCCATTCCATTTAATTAGCTATATATATTTACGCCATAATATACTCAGGCTCTTAATTGGCTCAGTCATGTCAATATTGTTATTAATGTTAACTCTGTTTCTGTATTTTCTGGTTTAATGAACAATTTCAATATCAATATCAGTATCAAAATTTTTTAGTTTATATAAGTGGGAGTAGCGAGAGCGTAAGGCAGGAACCGTGAGAGTGTGTGGAGGTGGTGAAAGACGCACCTACTTCATGTTACCTCCCTGCCAGCCGAGAAGGTAACATTGTCTAACTTGCAGTCTCATCCTCCCCTCAGCACACACCTCCAACTTCAAGAAATGAGTCATGTTGATTTGTATCTGTTATAATGTCATGCTGTTCGCGAATAGCAGCAGTTATTTTCACTTGCTTTAATATTCACAATAAAGGTTGAAGAGAAAGGTGTTTGGGCATGCCTTCCCATATGTGCTGAGGAAGAGGCTGGGAATCTTGTATTGGAGGGGGATCTGTAACAGGCACCAAGGACGAATTTCACAGCGGCCAGCCTCACCCTTGTCCGCCTTGCAGACTTACCACATCACCTACAGGCTGCACTTTTGCATTATATATTTTCATCTTACCATACCTTCTGCAAAATGCCATAATTCTCGGACACGAGACACGCGGCAGCGTCAGTGGTACACATGGGCCTAAAATAGAGGACCTGTCCCACAGTGTTGGACCACTGCCCCAATATGCTGTACTGCATATATAATTACAATACCACCTACACTGGTATATACTCACATACGTTTATGTCAATACATGCGAATCAGTGTCAGCATATACTCATGATGTACGGCGGCGTAGGTGGAGGCGTGTACAAGTTCACTACTATTTGTGTGAGTCAAAGTCTAAGATTATAACATAAACAATGGTATGCGCAAGATTATCTTATTCATTGTGCAGTGAGGTGCACTAGATCACAACAGTACATGTGCAGTGACGATTTCAATAATAGTTTACTTTTTTTTGTTCTGAGTAACTTCAATATCGCCAAGGTTTCAAAACGAAAAAAAATAGATCAGCTTCTTCCGGCAGTGAGAAGCTAGCAAGGTCTTGTGGCTTCCGTACAGTGAAGACACAAAGGAATAAATTGTTTTCTTTTTGTATACGGGCAAATGGTGGTCACCTTGAAATATTTATAAACATTTGCACATGTTCAAATAATGCCTACCTTTAACTCTAACTGAATGTACAGTCTGTAAACTTTCAAGAAATTCAGTAAAATGTATCTAAATAGTATGTGGCACTTACCACACAACCTACAGGATTATGAGCTTTCCTATGGTATCAAGGACGTTTTACTCTTCATCCGTCCTATGTTATGAAACTGTCCTCCCTCCTTTGTTTTAAAACCCAACTTAGCTGATGTAAAATCCCAACCCATAACAACAAAGTCCTCCCGTTCCCATCTTCAACGACATGAGGTTCCTTCCCATTGTTGTTAAGTTCATATGAATTGACTTGAAATTTCCCCATAAGCGTAAAGTCAACCCTTCAACTCAGGTGATTTACTCCCACTGTCGTAAAGGATTCCCTACTTTTTGTCCCTATTGACGCAAAGTTCCCCCACCAACTTATATGAAGTGTCAAATCCCCCCAGCCGACGTAAAGTACCAATGTATTGTCATTAAGTTTCCAATTCTCATAAGCCACGTGAAGTGCCACACCATTCTCCCAGTTCCCACGAAATATTCCCCATTGTCTTAAAGTCCTGTCCATCTCACATGAAGCCCCACCTAATTATATGGTCTCATCCTGTTGACGTATTAACATTAAATTCATTCCTTATTATTGTAAAGCTCACCTCACTCCCCTGCCTAACTGACATGAAATTCCACTTTATTAAGATTAAGGCCCATCCCTTCACTTACTCTTTATAAACGTATCCTGGACCTTGAGCGTTCTCTTATAATAGGTCCGTGATATCTTTCCTGAGACACATCTGTCCCTCTACCTTGGAATATATCATTTCCGTATTTAGTTAAACTCTTCCTTTGGTTGAAAGCTGTCCTTTTCCCAACGGGGATGCCAATACGCCCGGAAATGAATTATATTAGCTAACCCGTAAAACCAAAGCAGTATCATCGATCTACTTAGCGTGTTTCTTATTGTCAGGTGAGCAGCGAAGGAACATAGATCATGCGTTTTGTTTTATGTTAATGGAATAAGGTCTTCGTTGATACCTCATATATACAACCGTACCTTCTTTATCTCCTCAGTTGAAAGAAATAAATTGTTCGTAGTCACACATTACCTGTCACTCTATTGTGATCCATTTATGTTTGGTTCCAATATTCTTCTTCATAACATGATTGCAGAACACAATGTAATAACTCGGTAGCAAGTAAAACCCGAAATCATAAACCAATATACTTCTCTCCAAAAAATATGTAATATTTATTTGTGTAAAATATGTCTTGACCTCGTGTGATAACTATTGTCTCCATCTAATCTTAAGCAATTTAGTCCCTAACCGGGAGAATAAATTCAAGAGTCAGTCAGTAACCAAATCTGCAACAGAAAGACGCGATGCTGACACAGAATAGAGATAAACAAGATTTAGAGTCGTTCAACATGCTATGAAAAATATTACTTAGTGTTAACAAAAAACTCGAATTAGCATGCTGAGTTTTATATGATAGTGTGTATGTAATTATCAAACTGTGTTCCGAGATGTGGCAGTCGACTGGATAGAAAGCTCTCTCCTGGCATAAGGATCGCTAATTGGATCCTGGGGCACTCCTAGTCCACCCATCTGTAAATAGATTATATAACTTTATTAGTTAGAGAAGTGAAGGCGGTCGAGTGCAGTACCGGCCATGCTGCCTCCTTGTGTACCGAAGGCTAAGTATACAGTGGGCAGTCATGCCTCTAGGACACAATCAACTTGTTGTGTAAGAGAGAGATAGAACATAATAAATAAATATAATAAACTTAAAGCAGTAGTGGAATAGGAAGCAAATTTGGATAAATAAATCAGACAGTTATTTTTATTACTTTTAAAGGAAGACAAAAATAGTAGTATGTTAGAGTAAAGAGCAGAGAAACATAGAACAAGTAAGGATTTTCAGTAGACAGCAGAGAAAACGAGATAGGCAACAGCTTGGGATAATTAATAAGTCAGGATGGAGAAGCAGTATATTATAAGGATGAGGATAGGATTAACAACCATTACCCAGTAGTTGTGGCTTCCTCCCAACAGCCCGTCATGAGGATGGGGGCACAGACTTTTTCTTCTCTCCACGTCTAATATTTACTAACTTTTCTTTTTTCTCTCTCGTCCTCTCCGGATCCCCCTCTCGTAGCTTGTCTGTGTCTGTGGAAAACGGAGCCCGTCACCCATATTAGCTGAGTAATGTTATATGGTAGCTTATCAACTTATTAAATCTAAAGCTCACGTGTTCAAAGCTTGTATCAATTTTACATCCCAATTCTATTGTTGAAACCTGAGTTACCATGGATGGTTAAATTTTGCTAGTATGACTTAATTAAAGGAGGGTCACGCGCTCCATCCACATCTTGTAGTTAGCATCTGTGCCGTCCCTCCTCCCTGGGTTTGAGAGCCATTACTAACTCATTTTATAGTTTCCATCTATTATTTCTCCGCAGAAGAGGAGGAAGAATCCTTTAAGGAAAGAGTGAAGAAAAAACTAATAAAGTATTTGCTGAAATGCATCGACATCTTCTGTGTTTGGGACTGTTGCTGGGCGTGGATCAAGTTTGCAAAGTTTGTTGAGTTAATAGTATTCGATCCTTTTATGGAGCTGTTCATCACTCTGTGTATCGTCATCAATACGCTCTTCATGGCCTTGGATCACTACGGCATGAAGGACGGCTTCGCCAACTTCCTGCAAATGGGAAATTATGTGAGTATCCCCTGCTAGCATTTCTGTAGCTCGCCATCCACACTGCTGCGCTGCTCTCCATCTTCCCATCTCCACCTCTTCCTCTCATGGATGGCACCAGCAGGCCTGAAGATCAACAGCACAAGTCTTTCAGTCACTTTCAGTTACAAAATTCTTTACTAAATGCTTTTCGCTTAATTTCAGATATATATTACCCAGTTATATAATATGCATAATTTGTGATTTTTAACCATTACATAATACAGCAGACATTCTCCATCTAGATTCTAGGAGTTGCCCCTATCTGAATCGAAATTCTATCGTGTACATAATTTTATTTATATTATTGACTACTGTATTGAACTAGCAACATGAGATGTGTGAAATGACTTACACATCATTTGTATAGACTGTTGTATTTCTAATATGCATCCTCATCTCTTACTAGACTTGCTACTAAATTATTCTCAATTTTTTTACTTTACATAGACTGTTCTCATTCTCAAACTCGTACGAAATATACTGTACTGGACGTAGATTACTTTTTTTTTTCAATTTCTTTCCTTACATACAGTAGACAGTTCTCATTTTCAATTTCGTACCAAACAAAATCAGGCCTTTTCCATAGTTCATCCTTCAATACTGTTTAATAAAGATCACTGTATCGTCATTGTTTTGTTTTCAATTTTAAACAAGCTCGATGTTATTAATTCTTAATATTGTACACATTTTTTAATCCACATTAAAAGATTAACGTGAAGGTTTATGTTCAAACTGTAAGTGTAATGCTTTAGACCCTTACAGGTAGAATCATCTGTTGCTGCCTCTTCATTTTGCGTTATACATGAACTCAGTAATACCATGAGAATGACTCTACCTCATTTCAATGCACGACTTTTTCACTGTTTTTCCCACAAGTTACTTCAGTACCTTTCGATCACAATAACTCTACACTATAGAGATTATAATCAACAGTCCTTCAGCATGGTACAATAAGACAGCCTGATCACATGATTTTATTAGCTTTAATACACCGGATTTACCATAAGCATACTTCATATTGCTGTAAACTCACCTTATCACTCCCTGTGTACATGTCTGGTATAACAGGACAGCTGTGATGTAATTTGGGTATGTACCTGTAGTTCAATCTGGGATAGTGTGAGTCTTGTCTAACCTGGCTTACAATACTCCTTCACTTATGTAATGCACATCAGTATAGCTTTGACCTTACAGCTATAACCAGAGGATAAACAGGTGATAAAATGTTTCTAGATAATATATATATATATATATATATATATATATATATATATATATATATATATATATATATATATATATATATATATATATATATATATATATTTACACAGTCTCGCTAAAATAATGTGTACAAATGTTCCACTGTTTTGAGGTTTTCTGAATTATGAATCAAATTGTTATTATTATTTTTTTTTTATTATTATTATTATCATTATTATTATTATTATTATTATTATTATTATTATTATTATTATTATTATTATTATTATTATTATTATTATTATTATTATTATTATTATTATTATTATTATTATTATTATTATTATTATTATTATTATTATTTATTTTTTATTATTATTATTATTATTATTATTTTTATTTAGTCACCTCAATATTCATAACTTGAATTATGTCATTATTATTATTAACCATTGTACTACACGTGAAAAACCTCAATAATATGAATTGTGAAATGTTGAACATATCTTTGGCCTTTACCTTCCAGCTGTCTATTAAATTGGTGTTGTTTTTATTACTGCCTCTTTTGCTGTGTTACTTATGCCGATATCATTACTCAATATGTCTTCATTCTTCCAAATACCCGATATCATTATTAATTGTAATCTTTCCTTCATTAAGTTTCCGGTTCCCAGTTGCGAATTTCTCTCTCCTCCGTCGCGTCATGAACGACTGTGATATAATTTTCCTGCTTTGCATCTTTGTGTCCAATATCAGAGGATTATATTCTTTATTGCGTCTCTACAAGTCCACTGGATTCTCCTGTTTTCGCTATAATATCATCCCAAAGCCCCTTGGATTTTTTTTTCTTGCATTGTACATCACCTCTTCAATTCCCTGTCAGCTTGTCTTAAGTGTCTTGTATTCACTATTAAGTCACTCTTTCATGACCCATAGCTCGTGTGGGGGAAGGGGTAGTGATGTGTTATGCATGTTTATAGAGCATCAGTTATAATCAGCTTTAGAGGATCGATATGGGTGTAATTAGCTGGATGCCAGGTATGTCTATCATTCATTAAACCTTCTCGCTCACTCTAAACTATTAAAATTTTCTCTCTTTTTCTTCCCTCTATACCGCTCTATCTCTCTCTCTTTCATTGCTGACCTCCTCGCCGTAAGTTCTGTTCTCCACGTGTTGATATTTAATTTCCATAAGTATTTATAATCTTCATTCCTTCAGCTCTGACCTACGTTCTCGATACCCTATGGGGGCCACAGTGCGGCTTGATACTGACCTCTTGTTCCTGGTGATCCTCCCTACAGTTCTTCACGGCCACTTTCAGCATCGAGTGCTTCCTCAAAATCATCGCAATGAACCCCAAGTACTACCTACAAGAAGGGTGGAACATTTTTGACTTCATCATCGTGTTCCTGTCTCTGCTAGAGCTGGGCCTCGCCAACGTCTCTGGTCTCTCCGTCCTGAGGTCCTTCCGACTGGTCAGTGCCTACTTATCCCGCCCCCTCCTCTCCTAGCTTTCACTTCGGATCTTTATGTTTTAAGTATAAATACTGTTTTGTGTAAGGTAACATGGAAGTGGTTTCCGTATATGAGTGTTTTAGGTCATTAAATTATTTCAGGTTGCCTAGACTGTGCAGGAATACATTCCAAGTACAGTATGCGTTATATTAGTATATCACGACTACATGTTTTATTACTCCTGGTTCTGTAAACAGTATCAACATGAGTGGTCGTATTGGCATTATATGCTCTTATTATTTCAAACTTAGGATGAATGTTCTTATTCTAAAATTTTATCAAATTACAAAGTAGCCATAGAAGTTTTTCATTGTTATAGGCATTTCCATAAAACAGCAGGTACGGCCTACTGTACTGTACTCACTGTGAAACACCAATTTCATTTGGAAAATAATTCACAGTTGCTGTTTAGTAGATGAAAATCTTGCACAGTTTTTGGAACACTATCTTTCATAAGGTAACATCACCAAATGGTTGGTAGTTTTCGGGATAAATTATTGCTGTGTTAGGTAATTACTGTAAATGAAAGATTGGAATCCCTCCAGAGATCAGTCACCGTTTTGAAGGGGAAACTTATTTTTTTAAGGCAATTATGATGCCCACAGTTGCGAGTGTTCAAGCTAGCCAAGTCGTGGCCGACCCTTAACCTGCTGATCTCCATCATGGGTAAGACGGTGGGCGCCCTGGGTAACCTGACCTTCGTCTTATGTATCATCATCTTCATCTTCGCCGTTATGGGCATGCAACTCTTCGGCAAGAACTACACAGGTAGGGAGTGTGGACCACCAGCTTGACTCTAATATTACATGTCACCCATATCTTACCTGTTGCTGCTCATAACTGTTCGGGGGTTTTCTCATGTGATTAATATTTTGTTTTCATCCCTAACAACCAAAGCTTGGTGAGTGTACTGGATACGACAAGTTTGTGGGTCTCTTCGTAGACGAGAGGTTTTTCGTGTAATAAGGTTCTGAACATATATTGCTGTAAAAATTAACTGATATATTATTGTTGTTTTTTGATAGAGGAGTAAAGGAGTAAATGAAGAAAGGGAAGTAAGTCATGTGATAAAGTTAATAAGAGTTTATTAGAGGTTGAAGAAGTAAAATAAAGGTGACAGAGTGTGTTGATGAGCCGAGACTGGCAGGATAGAGGCAAGAAGTGGAGGAGACGGCTGTAAACAAACTACGTACAAAGGACACACCGTGCGGAGTTGATCAGCCTCCAGCAGCAAGACTAAAACAAATGGACAGATATTGGATTGTTTGAATAACAGGAGATTTATGGTGCAGCCAATTTAGGACGATTATGGTCGAGTAGATTTAGAGCTCACCTCCTGTTCCAGGGGTCAACGGTTCGATTCCCGGGCACTCCCAGTTCACCCAGCTGTAAATGGGCACCTAAGTTTACATGTTGGGGAAGTGAAGGCGGTTGAGTGCTGTACTGGCCATGCTGCCTCCTTGTGTACGAAAGCCTTAGTTTATCGAGGGCCCCACTTTCAGGGTAGCGAGCCATATGTACAATCGTTATTATATAAAAAATTTAGTATAACAGAAATTAGAATAAATAATTAATTAAGAAATGAATTTAAAGGTTGCATTAGGGTTGAGCAAGACTGTGTTCTATCTCCAGCGTTATCTATTATATATTCAGAATTTTTATTTTGAGAATGTGTGGGGAGCATTGAGGGAATAAAGGGCAAATTAACGCCACAGACGTGTACATTACGAGAGATGTTTAACGAATGGTGAAGAGATTAGTGAAATTATAGGCTTAATTAATGGTGATTCTGTTAAGACAAAAATGATAACTGATTTTAAATCACAAGTAAATTGTGCAATAAAAAGCAGTGTTGGTAAAAGAGATTTGTAATTTATAAAAGTACTGTTTATCTGGGAAATAATATAGGTTGTGTGGTAGATAAGAACAAAATCGAAACAAAATTTGTATTCCTGGAGACAGCGTAGACGGCACTGCCTTTACTTGTCCAACATATTAAAGTTAGCTTAGTGGACTGGTAGTGGCCCGTGATGGTACCATTGGCCAGGGGGCGTCTGCAGTATCCGCTCGGCTGTCACACTCCTTTCCGTGAGCACGAAGCAATGACCTCAGAATACCCTCAGTAAGGAGCCAAACATAAGGAGCGCTCGCCCGAAGGTTCACTAACTCAGCAGGTAGTAGTGACGGGCAGTGTGTACATAGAATTTCAAAACTTAATTATGCTGATAGAAAAACAAAGTTCTCAGATATTCTAGACCCATGAAATAATTATAAATTGATAGAAATATGAGTTTGGTTTGACCATTTAATTGGAGTTGAGGGAATAATGGTAGATATTATGGATAAAATTGGAGGCAAGAGGGCCAGGGGATGGGTAAATGAAATTGATTGTTGGGTTCTCTGAAGATATACAAAATCTGGGAGCGTTGATAAAGGAAGACCAAACTCTATGGAGTGGTAAGATCTGGTCAACAACACCTTGATTGATGAAAATAGGTCCCGCAGGTCCGTCAACCAATAAGGAGCAGTTCGAAAACAGCATACTGTAGATAAAACCTATTCTCAGTACACAAGTAGACATGACACTCGGCTGCCATCACTCTCCCAACTGTAAATTAACTCTTGGTGCCCGCGTGTGTTCATCAACCATTAGTCGGGCTGTGAACTGGCTTTATGTTAACTTAGTTCTACTGTAGTTCATGTCATTGAAGATTATTTTAGCAATTCAACTATTAGTTCAATAGGTGTATTGGGCTCAGTTTATGAGGTGTAAGCATCTTCCATTTATTTCTATGTAGTGATGATAATAAACCATCATTAATGTTTTTAAGGCTTTGGTCCCATGTTATATTATGCAGCAGATGGAGTGGTCACTAATTCTCTCTTACTTTCAGAAAACGTCAGCCGGTTTCCAGAGAACCCTGATGGAAGACTCCCTCGGTGGAACTTCACAGACTTTATGCACTCCTTCATGATTGTGTTTCGCGTATTGTGTGGCGAGTGGATTGAGAGTATGTGGGACTGCATGGTGGTTTGCGACTGGTCATGTATCCCATTCTTCATGGCAACTGTCATCATCGGTAACCTGGTGGTGAGTAATATTAACAAACTTCATCTCTGTGTTGTTTACTAACGCTGCACATCACCTCATCAATGCCGACAAAACTGAATGTGAAATAGAATGGTAACATCAGGGAAATTTTCTTATCTGGTTTGATTGATAATATAGATATAGCAGTTGTGTTTTAAATGAGTTTATCATATAAGATTAGATAAAATATGAATGTCACATGTAAAGAACAGGTAAGTGAGGATGACAATAAAAGTAACTAAGTTGTATCACTCACAGATACAGTTTGTTGACATTTAGAAAAGGAGAACTGTTCGTTGAAATTGTCATGTTTTGGCTTCTGTACGGGGCCATGTAATACAAATATGTATTCCGTAGTGCCACTTCAAAAGCATTTTCTCTTATGATACTGACAAAAAAACACAATATTTTTTAGAATAAGAACATAAGATTTGTTGATCAAGAAAGAGACCTGCCAGAAGCAGATTGTTTACAGGAGAACAAGTGCAAAAGAGTTTAACCCGACTCCCCCTAACAGGTGCTGAACCTGTTCTTAGCTCTGCTTCTGAGCAGTTTCGGTGCCTCCAACCTGTCGGCTCCCCATAGCGACGGAGAAACTAACAAGCTGTCCGAGGCCTTTGATCGTATCGGTCGCTTCAAAGCTTGGGTCAAGCGTTGTGTCCTCAACGGCCTCAAGTTCGTCCGTGCCAACCTCACCAACCAGATCAGTGACCAAACACCAGGTTAGTCTCAGATCCACGCTCACTACACCCACTCCTATTGCACTGCTGACCATCATGCACACTCCAATTGCACCCTCTCCCACCATACCATCAAATACGCCTAAGTTCACTTTGGTCACATTTATCACACACTCACGCCTATCATTTATAACACCCACCCATATTACACTTAAAATGCCCATCATTCATCCCATGACATTCACATCTGTCACATTCAGACTCATCATTCATAGACCTTCACACCTTTATCTCTCACCTCCTACATCCAACATTCATCACACCCGCTCCTCATGCGTCAATCGCTCCTAGGCCCATCACATTACCACCTATTACGCCCATCACACCCAGTACACCCACTTGCTGTACTGTATATCACCCCCAACAAGCACCCACTCCACCATCTGAAACACTGAACACCGTACCACTCAAACTGAACCAATTGATTGTCAAAACTTTACAGATAACGATTGTGCATATAGAAAACTATTTTGATAAGTAGCGGCTGAACCTTCTTGAGAATGTACTGTACACCAATTGTTAGGATTTAATCTTCAATATTAGGTTATAATATAGTGTCATGAATATATATACGCAAATGTAATCATAATCTCTCTACACTTTGGTATACGGTTGGCCTACAATTGGTGTATATACGTGCATCAGAGCAGAATTTAATTACGTGCATGTGTGTGTACATTATTTTTTCTAAACTGTGTGTTCAAAGTAAATATAGAGAGCTGTTCTTAATATGTACACAAATAGGAATTCGGTGTTCGGTGTTTAAGCATGTAGAGAAGTGTTCATTGTGTACACCTGTTGAAGATGTTATTGGAGGCATATTTGTGTGGAAGACGGAATTATCGCTGCATAGTTTACATGTAGAGCTGGGCTTATGCACAGAATGCTTATGTAGAGTTGTCCTGCGTTCAGTGTGTAGAATAGGGTTTACATTCAGTGTATGCAAATGTAGATTAGGCTTTTTAAGTATTGACTCATGTATAGAAGTTGCTGATGTTCAATGTGTGGGTATTTTTTTTTTTTTTTGGCAGTAAACAGAGGCTTTGTAAACATGATTACAAAGAAAGCTTAGCTGTATAAATACTAAAATCGTTTCATAGAGTAAAACTGATATACAGTATAATGAGTAGGAGTTATTTTGTGTGTAAATCATATCATGTGTGTAGAGCAATTGTAAGAAGGTTATGTGTGTAGGTAGATTATTGGTGTGTAAAGTAAGAATAAAAATATGTGTAGAATATATAGTAGGAATTATTGTGTATAAACTAAAAAAAAAAGGTTAGGTTAGGTGTAGAGTATTAAAGAATATGTGTAGTTTAAGAATGACATGTGTAGAATTAGAGTAGACGATGGTAATTTATATGTAAAGTAAGAATGTTTATATCTCAAATTGAATCATCGCTTCAAAAATATTACCGTTTCTATTTACATTAGGAGTGTATGTATGTATGTATGTATATAGATTCTGATTTGTATAGTTATGTATTGAATGAGAATGGTAGAGTAAGAATGGCTGTGTTTAGAGTAATATTGTGTGTGTATGATATAAAGGATCTTAGCGTAGAATCAGAAGGGTAAGGATTGAATAAACTTGGAATGGCTACTGAATGCATGATAATAGTGTGAGATGTTGTTGAGTAAGTGTATATAGATGTATAGAGAACATTTTGTTGTATCTATAGTCTGAATGATAACATACAACGTGTAGTGAAGTTACCTTAGAACTAGAGGAGGAATAACGCTGGTGTAGAGTAGTGGTGTTTGGAGCTATAGATGTGAATTGCTTATGTGTATTCTGCTCTATCTTTGAACCACAGTTGTGTTGGAACCCAAGAAGTATGTACGGCTCTTGAAGCATGATAGTAGAGTGCAGAGCCTTGGTGGTAGAGTAGTTATGTGTAGAGTTAGGGCCAGAACAGTAGAGTGCAGAGCCTTGGTGGTAGAGTAGTTATGTGTAGAGTTAGGGCCAGAACAGGACAGTAACGTGATTAGTGAGCCAGTGTTGACACGGCGTCTTACAGACCCTCGGGATGTGGAGCCAGACGATATTATGATGGACGGCCAAACGGGCAACAAAAAACTCCCCAAGGACCACACACAAGTTGACATCCCCTTGGACGGTTACGACCTTGTAGGTAAGTACCCAGTGGGCCAGGTATTACCCATTCATCTGTGAAGTGTTCCTCTGTTTGTCACCACCAAGTTGATCCTTTCAACCTAATTTACTCCAAGAATATCATGTTCAAACTTAGGATAATTTTAATTAATTAAGTATTGCGATTGCTTGTTAGAGTGACCAAATTTCAGCTTTGTTACATTTTAGTTATTCCAGAATAGTCCTTCCTTACCTAATAATCCTCTAATTATCTTTCCTCTTAGAATGTTTTGCTCATCTCTATTTCATTTTTCCATTGATTCATTCATTGTACTTCTCCGGTTTTGTTTTCAGTATTCACTCACATCCCTCCCAGCTGTTTATGGATTTCTTTATCAATGAAATTCCTCACATGTATCTTTTATCCCCAGATGGCAAGATGAAAAACAACTCGGTGATCAACAACAGTAAACATATCGGAAACTCCATCACCAAGGACAACCGCGACGCGATCATCGAGAACGACTACAGCAACAAGAAGGTTCGCTTGGAGGAAGACGCCGTGAGCAACAACTCTCTGGGCTCTCACAAGAACCGTAAGCTGAAGAGCGACAGCGGCAGCCACAAGGGTTCCTCGGAGTCCCTCGACGACGGCGAGGAGAAGAAAGATGCGAGTAAGGAGGACCTGGAGGATGGTATGCTACTTGATGGTACACTCACTCGCACTCTGCTCTCGTTCGTTCTTAGGCTTAAGTTGTAGGCAACGGGAGAGGAAACCAGGCCCTCTCCACCACAACACTCCCGAACCTGATTTACCAAATAATAACCAAGTGTAATTCTGTTTCTCATCACGTGGAAAAAATTTCAGTTTAAAAACATTTAAATAATGCCGTTTATGAAATGAATTGCTATATGATATAGTTTTCGGGAGTTGCCATATGCCGAGTAAAGAGTGTGTCTGTAGACTCATAACAGACACAATGAATTTGTGGTGAGCGAGTGTGTGCCAATTCAGGATGCCTCTTCCGTCGTTTCTTGTACGATGGTGGCCAAGGGCCTTGTTAAGTTATAACTATGTGGCTCTCACTATCAGTCCCCCTAAACCATATATCTTAACCCCCATTCTTTCTCTATCCCTGTGCCTCTTAGAGCCACTGTCCCACACCCTACGCCTCTTAGTGCCATTCCCCTGTATTCTTAGTGTCGATCCTCCACTCTTTATGACTCTTAGTTCCACTTCCCAACTCTTCTATAGATGATAGTACCACTGTTCCTTGGCCCCTATGCCTCTTGGTACTACTTCCCTATTCTCCGTGACTTCTGGTGTCACTCTCTATACAACATCTCAAAGACCAATTTCCTTTCAACCTATGTTTTTAGCATCACATTCCCTCCATTCTGTGTCTCTTCGTGCCATTGCCCACATCCCTTTGTTCTGGATACCACAGTCAGCATCTTCTGTTCTTCTTAGTGCCATCTTTCTTCAACCAGTGTATCTTACTACCACTCCTTCTCAAGACCTGTGTTGTAAATCTTCCTCAACCCGTGGTACTTGGCGCTACATCTCCAACCTTACCATTCCTGTATCCTTCATTATCATCTTGTTAACCTGTGACTCTTCATGGCTGTTAATAGCATTCCTTAACCTGTTCCCAGACCTTACCACTCTAGTAATCCCTACAGCTATTAGTACTAATTCCCTTAACACCTGAGTCTTAGTTCCAAGCTATGGCTATCAATACCAGTTCCTCGCTTCCTATTGTCCTTAGAGATATTCCTCCAAAACTGTGCCTCATAGTTCCACTCCATCACCTGTTGTTCTACATTCTGTCATTCTACCACTCCACTGCATCTGGATTACCCTCTCAGCCCCTATGGCTCATAATACCATCCTCCTAAACCCTGTTGTCTTTTGAGCCATTTCACCACCTGTAGCTTATAGTGCACTCCTCAACCCCTGTTTCTCTTTGTACCACTTTTCACCTCCTGTAGCCTCTTGTTTCACTATTCCATCTCCTGGGGCTCCTAGTGCTCCTCCTTTATTCCCTGTAGCTTCTTAGATCTATGTTTGCATTTAGTGCCACTTACTCCCAAAACTAGCAATTCTTTGCGTCACGCCCTAAGTCCTTGGTGATTTGTTAGTCTTAGAACCTCACCAAGTTCTTGACTCTTAATGCCATTTTCTTATCCTTACCAATCCTTCTGAATCTCATGGATCTTAGCACCGCTTCTGGATCTCACTATTACTTCTCCCATTCAACAACCACCTCATGTTATTCCAACACCCTAAAAATCCATCTTAGTTTCATTATTCTTCCCCTCGTAGTGCAGCCCCCAACTCTTGAGGCTGTTACTACCATTCCCCTACTCCCTGTGGCTAAGTTACTCTCTCACAGCCCCTCTTGACTCTCATTGCCACCCTCTAGCCCCTCTTATCATCAGTACTCATAATCCTTGTGCCACTTTTCAGCTTGCCGCAATAGTTCCTCTCTCTCACAACCGGTGTTGCCATTACCTTTTCTCAGCATGTGGCTCTAACTTTCACTTTCTCGACTTGGAGGTTCTAGTAACGCTCTCCTACACCTTATTTCTACTTCCTCACCTTTTCTGTACTCATTTTGTTATTCTCCTCAACTATTTGGTTTTCATCCCCTTCTTCAAATATATCATACCGCTCCCCACTCCTTCCTCAACTCGTGGTTTGTTATGTGACTCTTCCCACCCCTGTGGCTCATAGTGTCACTTTATATAAACCCATGGTCCTTATTACCATGTACAGTTGCCATCAAAAGTCCTCATACACAGGGCTGTGGGAGGACTTTTGCTGGCAACTGCACCATGTACCCGTGACTCATAGATCCCCTTTTCTTACAATGCATGGATCTCGGTATGACGTTCTTACCCGCTTGCCTAGTTGGTTCATTCTTCCCCCAAACAGAAGAATTTTTATATTTACATTTCTATCCTTTGTTATAAAGGACGTTTTCCTAACCGGTTGTACCTCATCCTCCCCTCCCACCACTTGCGACTCTAAATATGTGTCTGTCAATCCCTACCCATGTGTCTCTCAGTAAATGTCTCTCAGTACATTTTGTCATTATACCTCAGCTATTGGTTCTTAGTTTTACCTCTACTATGTTTCTCACTCCCATTCCCCGTTTCTTTTAAGTACGACTTTCCCATGTTTCTCAGTAGTAAGTCGTTTTTCTCAATACCACTCTTCGTTTCTTTTGATATCAATCTTATGTTTCTCATCACCACCCCTGTGTTTCTCTGTACCACCATATTGTTATTTTCAGCATCCCTCGAAGTCAATCCCTATGACTGTCATAATATTTCATTTTCTCCTCCCAAACGTCTCGGCACCATTCCTCACCTGCCTCTACCTTTCCTTCATTACTCTCTCTACCTCTCCTTCCTTACTTTCTCTATCTCTCTCAGTATTATTCTCTGTGTTTCTGTATGGCTATTCGTCCGTGACTCTAAACTAGTTTCTTGTGTGTCTTAGTACCAACCCTGCTGACTCAGGTATCCCCTTCCCTTCCCAGCTATGACCCTCAACACAATACCTTTTCCCATGTCTTTTGATACAACTCCATCCTTCCTGTAACACTCATTGTGACTCAATGTGATTCAGTGTGACTCCTACGATGACTCTCTATACCAACGACTCTTATTATATTCTCAGCAACACTTCTTCGTGGCTAACATTGCACTTCACATATGGCTCTCAAATTACCATGACTGCCATTATAACCCTCTCTCTGGCTCTCAGTACTCTGTGACTCTCACTGAAACTCATTCCAAGGCTTTATTTACACTTTGCCTCGAGGTTCTAACTAAACTCGTCCGTGACTTTCAACACTAATAATCCATAGAGTTCGGAAACATGTCCTGCAGTTCTCAGTGAACATCGTCCCATGGCTGTTGCATCACTCTTACCTGGCTCTTAGAACAGTAGGCTACACGTACTGTATCGCAGTTCGGAATACAAACATGTTGTTGCGCTCTGTTCAACTCGCCTTACGACTCCTAGTGTACCTTGCCAATGGTTCTCACTACATCTTACCCGGTAGTTCACCTCATCCACAGCTCATCAGAATATCTCATTTTATGCCTCTCAGTGCGCATATGGTTCTCATTAATCTCATAGCGCTCAGTAGTACTCGCCTCGTGGCTGTCAGTATTGTACATCTCGTCTTCTGACTCTCGTACACCTCGCCTGATAGTTCTCAGTACACCTCAGTACATTTGACTCCATCTCTGTCAGTATATTTCATTCCTTTCACTCTACTCACTTCATGGCTCTTGGCTCAACTCATTCTGCCATGGCTCTTGGTACACCTCAACCCACTATGCTTCACTCGGTACACCTGACACTATACTTCACACTATGCTTCACTCGGTACACCTGACACTATACTTCACACTATGCTTCATTCGGTACACCTGACACTATACTCAACACTATGCTTCACTCGGTACACCTGACACTATACTTCACACTATGCTTCACTCGGTACACCTGACACTATACTTCACACTATGCTTCACTCGGTACACCTGACACTCGTTCTATAGTATTATATTCCGTGTCTCCTGGTGATGCAGATCTCGGTACATCTCGCCCTGCGGCTCTAAGTAAACCTTGACCACTGAATCTCACGATGTATTCCTTCTGGATGATGCAAGAGCTCTAACACATTAAAACGCCCATCATTATATCCTGATGTGATGATTGATTTTAAATTATCATCATATTTGAACCGTACACTCATTGGATTCTTTAAAAGTTATGATGTATTGGTCATTCACCATGAAGATATTTCTAATATTTACATTAGAACGTTACTTAAATAATATAATTAAAGTTTCATTTCAATCTTATCCCAATTTTTTTATGAAATACCTGCGAGCAATAAGTGAAAAGGGGGAAATAACTCGAAAATTACTAGTGTCATTTGCTTTTATTTACACTGTAGAGCAGTGGTGGGCAACCTGCGGCTCACCAGACAATACTTCACCATTGTCTACACACATAAAAGAATCATACAAAAAGCGGCGCTGATTTGACTCCACCAATTTTGAGGGCAATTGTCAAGACAGTAACTGTGAGAGTTATATTAACATCAAATTATATTAATATTTTGATAATTCACTGATAATTTTAACTAATTTAACTGTAAATGTTTTTTGAAGTCGCAACACTTGATGATCAACTAGGTGTTGTACTGCTGGTGGTTGTGCTAACCTTTGATGTGTTGTGCACCCCCCCCCCCCCCCAGATGTCGCATATTATGGGAGGCGGTGCACTGTACCATATTATGGGAGGCGGTGCACTGTACCATATTATGGGAGGCGGTGCACTGTACCATATTATGGGAGGCGGTGCACTGTACCATATTATGGGAGGCGGTGCACTGTACCATATTATGGGAGGCGGTGCACTGTACCATATTATGGGAGGCGGTGCACTTTACCATAACTTGTTTTTTTTACGCTTATTATTTCACTTTGATGACAATTCTATTAATAAACATTTTCTGTTAAACATTCGGCCTCTGTTAAATGTGTTTATAGTTATTCGTGGGGTCATGGTTTGTGCACATGTCAAAGTTCAATCTTGTGGCCCACTGAGATGATGGAGGGACACCCATGTGACCCACTGAGATGATGGAGGGCCACTAGCCTAGGGTGGCCATCACTACTC